GGTTGGCAGTAGAGGTAGATGCCGCTATGAGGGTAGGCACTAGAGGTAGATGCCACCGTGAGGGTAGGCAGTAGAGGTAGATGCCGCCGTGAGGGTTGGCAGTAGAGGTAGATGCCGCTATGAGGGTAGGCACTAGAGGTAGATGCCACCGTGAGGGTAGGCAGTAGAGGTAGATGCCACCGTGAGGGTAGGCAGTAGAGGTAGATGCCGCCGTGAGGGTTGGCAGTAGAGGTAGATGCCGCTATGAGGGTAGGCACTAGAGGTAGATGCCACCGTGAGGGTAGGCAGTAGAGGTAGATGCCACCGTGAGGGTAGGCAGTAGAGGTAGATGCCGCCGTGAGGGTAGGCAGTAGAGGTAGATGCCACCGTGAGGGTAGGCAGTAGAGGTAGATGCCGCTATGAGGGTAGGCAGTAGAGGTAGATGCCACCGTGAGGGTAGGCAGTAGAGGTAGATGCCGCTATGAGGGTAGGCAGTAGAGGTAGATGCCGCCGTGAGGGTAGGCACTAGAGGTAGATGCCGCTATGAGGGTAGGCAGTAGAGGTAGATGCCGCCATGAGGGTTGGCAGTAGAGGTAGATGCCGCCGTGAGGGTAGACAGTAGAGGTAGACGTTGGCACACAAGGCCGAACGGTACACCACGCCTCGTACTCTTAACAGTTAACAATTACACTACTTATCAGGCTGGCTGATGATACAACTGGAGCGTTTAAAGCCCCGCGAGGCACCCCTGGTGGGTGTTGCGGGGCCTCCCCCCCACACCCACACCCCCTTACACTCCCCCCCCCCCACACACACCCCCCCCCCCCCCCACTCCACCCTCACAAGGTAAACATCTCACACCAACAACTGCAACCTCCGCCCATTATCTTGAAAGTATCTCCGCACGCATTGTCACTCTTAATATGTCATGTAGTTTTCTTATTAGTTTTTGCGTGAGTGCACGCACCCGTGGTGGTGGGTGCAGTGGGCGGCCGGCGGGCGTGTGGTGGAGGAGGGGAATGGTGGGCGGCCGGCGAGTAACGACTTGTCAGGGCGGAGACGCCCGCCTCTAAGTTTAAATCCCCGGTGTGTATATATGGGTAATGTCTCGTAACTGGGGACCAGGTGTGCGAACACTGCCTCGACTTTTAAACCATTTAGGCCTAGGGGTCTCTATTCTCCTGCAGCCTCCCCTGGCAGCTGGTATCACCCCCCCCCCTTCTCCTCTCCCCTCCCCCCCCCTCCTTCTGTACACTACCGACTTCTATTCGCGACCGCTGACGGTTTGAGGAGGTTTTGTTAAGATTTAAAGAACGTGAAGGCTGTTGGGGATGTTTGAACGCGTGGCCAAGGGTGGGTGTGGTGGTGGTGGTGGTGTGGTGGTCTGTACCGGGTGGTGGTGGTGGTGGTGTGGTACTCAGTACAGGGTGGTGGTGGTATGGTAGTTAGAACAGGATGATGGTGGTAGGATAGTATCCAGTAGGACGCTGGATACTCAAATTCCTGTCGAACAGAACACAGGGAGTAACAGTCAACCATATAAAATCGAGTCCAAACGCAGTTAAAGGCTCTGTACCTCAGGGTACAGTCCTTGCACCACTGCTGTTCCTTATTCTCATATCAGATATAGACAAAAATACAAGTCACAGCTTCGTGTCATCCTTTGCAGATGACACAAAAATCAGCATGAAAATTACCTCTGCTGAAGACATTGAAAAACTTCAAGCTGATATTAATAAAGTTTTCGACTGGGCAGCAGAAAATAACATGATGTTTAACAGTGATAAATTCCAGATACTCAGGTACGGGAAAAATGAGGATCTTAAACATAATACAGAGTACAAAACAAAATCGAATCTGCCCATAATAGGAAAACAGCATGTAAATGATTTGGGAATAATAATGTCTGACGACCCAACGTTTAGGGAGCATAACCAAGCAAATATCGCGTCAGCCAGAAAAATGATAGGATGGATTACGAGAACTTTCAAATCCAGGGATCCCATCACAATGGTTGTACTCTTCAAGTCACTTATGTTGTCCCGTCTTGAGTACTGCTCAGTATTCACTTCCTCCTTCAGAGCAGGAGAGATTGCTGAAATAGAGGGAATACAGAGAACATATACGGCACGCATAGACGAGATAAAGCACCTATATTATTGGGATCGTCTCAAAGCTCTCCAAATGTACTCACTAGAAAGGAGACGAGAGAGATATCAAATAATATACACATGGAAAATACTGGAGGGCCAGGTCCCAAATCTACACAGTAAAATAACAACATACTGGAGTGAACGATATGGAAGAAAATGCAGAATAGAACCAGTGAAGAGCAGAGGTGCCATAGGCACAATCAGAGAACACTGTATAAACATCAGAGGTCCGCGGCTGTTCAACACCTTCCCAGCGAGCATAAGAAATATTGCCGGAACAACCGTGGACATCTTCAAGAGGAAACTAGATAGTTTATTCAAAGGAGTGCCGGATCAGCCGGGCTGTGGTGGGTATGTGGGCCTGCGGGCCGCTCCAAGCAACAGCCTGGTGGACCAAACTTTCACAAGGTAATAGAAGAACTCCCAGAACCCCATCAACCAGGTGGTGTTGGTGTTGTAGTCATGTCTTGTGGGGGAGACCAGACTACCTGGGGTGTTGTGGGGGAGACGAGACTACCTGGGGTGTTGTGGGGGAGACGAGACTACCTGGGGTGTTGTGGGGGGAGACCAGACTACCTGGGGTGTTGTGGGGGAGACGAGACTACCTGGGGTGTTGTGGGGGAGACGAGACTACCTGGGGTGTTGTGGGGGAGACCAGACTACCTGGGGTGTTGTGGGGGAGACCAGACTACCTAGGGTGTTGTGGGGGAGACCAGACTACCTGGGGTGTTGTGGGGGAGACCAGACTACCTACCTGGTGAGCATTGAAATTCCTGGGGCCGTCGCCCTCGGAGCTCACTACAAGGACGTGCTCGGTACACCAGCCACACCTCGATACGCCAGCCACACCAAGGTACGCCAGCCACACCAAGGTACGCCAGCCACATCTCGGTACGCCAGCCTCATGAAGCACATCTCAGATATCTTCGTCATTCCGGAAAATCTATAAAAATACACGAGAAGCGGCATTCCAGGACGTCTTAATGTGAAGACGTGGTTCAGCAGGAGGGGGGGGGGGCTGGAGGGGGGGGGGCGTAGATGGGGACTCATCTTGGGAACCACTCCCTCATGGCGTGGGGGGGGGGATGATACCGATTTCCTGCGACCATCAGGAGGGATCGTCAGTGACGCATGCTAGCGTTTTGCGATACCTGGTGCTTGATTGAGAGTGTGAGAGTGTGGTGATGGGGGGTGGGGGAGGGGTGGGGGGGGGGAGCGGCGGCAGTTATCGCTCCTGGACGTCGCTCACTCGAGAAATCCATCGCTGTTAGGAGACAAACCTTGTTCAATTATACTGTTAGTTCCGCTTCTCTCTCTCCACTCCCCTCCTACCCCCCCCCCACCCATCTTCTCTTCTCTCTCTCTCTCCCTCTCTTCTCTCCCTCTCTTCTCTCCCTCTCTTCTCTCCCTCTCTTCTCTCCCTCTCTTCTCTCCCTCTCTCTCTCGCTCTCTCTCTCTCTCTCTCTCTCTCTCTCTCTCTCTCTCTCTCTCTCTCTCTCTCTCTCTCTCTCTCTCTCTCTCTCTCTCTCTCTCTCTCTCTCTCTCTCTCTCTCTCTTTCTGTCTGTCTGTCTATCTGCGTACTCACCTAGTTGTGCTTGCGGGGATTGAGCTCTGGCTCTTTGGTTCCGCCTCTCAACCGTCAATCTACTGGTGAACAGACTTCGGAGCTTTTCGAGCTGTTATATCTACACCATTATAATGAACAAATTGCGTGATGCATCACGCAATTGTGAATTCTGCGTGTAGTGTACACATTATTATATTATAATAACTCCAAGCTGTGTATGGAGTCAGCCTCCATACGTATTGTTATAAGTGTTACCTAGGAGTAAAATAGGTACCTGGGTGTTAGTCAGCTGTCACGGGCTGCTTCCTGGGGGTGGAGGCCTGGTCGAGGACCGGGCCGCGGGGACACTAAAAAGCCCCGAAATCATCTCAAGATAACCTCAAGATAACCACCACATCACTTCCTAGTGCATTCCATTTACTAACTACTCTGTCACTGCAAAAGTTCTTTCTAATGTCTCTGTGGCTCATTTGGGTACTCAGCTTCCACCTGTGTCCCCTTGAGCGTGTACCACCTGTGTTAAATAATCCATCCTTGTCTACCCTGTCATTTACTCTGAAAATTTTGTATGTGGCGATCATGTCTCCCCGAGCTCTCCTGTCTTTCAGCGACGTGAGGTGCAGTTCTCGCAGCCTTTCCTCGTAACTCATGCCTCTTAGTTCTGGGACTAGTCTAGCGGCATATCTCTGAACTTTTCCATCTTCGCTTTATTTATTAATGTTTTTATTTATATATACAAGAGTTGTTATATTCTTGTACAGCCGCCAGCACGGGTAGCGTTTCAGGCAGGTCCGTAATCCTGATTTTCCCCGGAATACGACCCGCCAAATCGCTTAACCACCAGGTACCCTTTCACTGCTGGGTGAACAGAGGCTACAGTTAAGGGTTGGTGCCCAGTCAATCCTCCCCGGCCAGGATACGAACCCTGCCCTGAAATAGGATATGATACGTTTTACCATTACGCCACGGGGACTGCTTGACAAGGTACGGGCTCCATGCTGGGGCCGCATACTCCAGGACTGGTCTTACATATGTGGTATACAAGGTTCTGAAGGATTCTTTACACAGGTTCCTGAAAATTTCTGCGTGTGTGTGTGCGTGCGTGCGTGCGTGTGTGCGTGCGTGTGTAGCGTCACACACTTGTACACATTGTATCACACGGGTGTATTGTACAAATATAAATTATAATTACCATTTGTATCCGGTATTACTGCCACCGCCTCCATGTTGATTGTTGCTATGTTGGCGGAGGTGTGTGTGTGTGTGTGTGTGAGGTGTTTAATGAGTGTCTCCTCACCAGTGGGTGAGTGGTGAGTGGGAGTTGGAGCCGTCGACGCCGACACCCTCACAGGCCCCGCCGCCCCTCACCGTGCCGCCCCTCACCGCCACGGGCACCGCCGATGTCAACGCCGCCGTGGTCAAGCTTGGCTATACTACCCTGGTAATTACTCACCTGGTGCCAGTGTTGGCTTGTTCTGTCCGTCCCGCTGCCTCACGTCTCGTGCTGGGAACTCATGAGTACCTAGCACTGTGTGCGTGTGTGTGTTTATGTGTGTGTGTGTGTGTGTGTGTGTGTGTTTGGCTTACCTGTAAGAGGGGGGGGAGAAGCATCCCCTCAAGTCTGCTGATTTGTAGTTGGATGCTGCCATTGGGGTGTTTTCAGATAAAATAAGTATATGGAGTGTTTTGTTGATTGTTAAGTGTAGCCTGTGAGTGTGGGAGAGTGGCCGCCCTCGCTAAACGTTCTTCTCATGGTGGCCGCCCACGCTTCCCCCTGCTCTCTCACACACACACACACACGCTCCCTCCCCCCTGCTCTCTCACACACACACCACGCTCACTCCCCCCTGCTCTCACACACACACACACACGCTCCCTCCCCCCTGCTCTCTCTCACACACACACACACGCTCACTCCCCCCTGCTCTCACACACACACACACACGCTCCCTCCCCCCTGCTCTCTCTCACACACAACACACACGCTCACTCCCCCTGCTCTCACACACACACACACACGCTCCCTCCCCCCTGCTCTCTCACACACACACACACACGCTCCCTCCCCCCTGCTCTCTCACACACACACACCACACACGCTCCCTCCCCCCTGCTCTCACACACACACACACACGCTCCCTCCCCCCTGCTCTCACACACACACACACACGCTCCCTCCCCCCTGCTCTCTCTCACACACACACACCCGCTCCCTCCCCCCTGCTCTCTCTCACACACACACACACGCTCACTCCCCCCTGCTCTCACACACACACACACACGCTCCCTCCCCCCTGCTCTCACACACACACACACACGCTCCCTCCCCCCTGCTCTCACACACACACACACACGCTCCCTCCCCCCTGCTCTCACACACACACACACACGCTCCCCCCCCCCTGCTCTCACACACAACACACACACGCTCCCTCCCCCCTGCTCTCTCACACACACAACACCACGCTCCCCCCCCCCCTGCTCTCACACACACACACACACGCTCCCTCCCCCCTGCTCTCTCACACACACACACGCTCCCCCCCCCCTGCTCTCACACACACCACACACGCTCCCTCCCCCTGCTCTCTCACACACACACACGCTCCCTCCCCCCTGCTCTCACACACACACACACACGCCCCCTCCCCCCTGCTCTCACACACACACACGCTCCCCCCCCCCTGCTCTCACACACACACACACACGCTCCCTCCCCCCTGCTCTCACACACACACACACACGCTCACTCCCCCCTGCTCTCACACACACACACACGCTCACTCCCCCCTGCTCTCACACACACACACACACGCTCACTCCCCCCTGCTCTCTCACACACACACACACGCTCACTCCCCCCTGCTCTCTCACACACACACACGCTCCCCCCCCCCTGCTCTCTCACACACACACACGCTCCCTCCCCCCTGCTCTCTCTCACACACACACACGCTCCCTCCCCCCTGCTCTCTCACACACACACACACCGCTCCCCCCCCCTGCTCTCTCACACACACACACGCTCCCCCCCCCCTGCTCTCTCACACACACACACACACGCTCCCTCCCCCCTGCTCTCACACACACACACACACGCTCCCTCCCCCCTGCTCTCACACACACACACACGCTCCCTCCCCCCTGCTCTCACACACACACACACACGCTCCCTCCCCCCTGCTCTCACACACACACACACACACACACACACACACACACACACACCACCCACACACACCACACACACACACACACAACACACACACACACACACACACACACACACAACGCTCCCTCCCCCCTGCTCTCACACACACACACACACACACACACACACACACACACACACACACACACACACACACACACACACACACACACACACACACACCACACACGCTCCCTCCCCCCTGCTCTCACACACACCACACACACACACACACACACACACACACACACACACACACACACCACACACACACACACACACACACACACACACACACACACACGCTCCCTCCCCCCTGCTCTCACACACACACACACACACACACACACACACACACACACACACACACACACACACACACACACACACACACACACACACACACACGCTCCCTCCCCCCTGCTCTCACACACACACACACACACACACACACACACACACACACCACACACACACACACACACACACACCACACACACACACACACACACACACGCTCCCTCCCCCCTGCTCTCACACACACACACACACACACACACACACACACCACACACACACACACACACACACACACACACACACACACACACACACACACACGCTCCCTCCCCCCTGCTCTCACACACACACACACACACACACACACACACCACACACACACACACACACACACACGCTCACTCCCCCCTGCTCTCACACGCTCACTCCTATGAATGAAGTCTTTATAATATCTCGTCAAGTTCCTCATATTCAGTTTCCGGTTCCCAACTTCGTGGGAACAAAGAACGGGAGTCTCGCGGTAATGTGTGGGAGGAGGTAAACAGGTGTGGGGAGGCTCCCTCCACACCTGTAGGGGAGCTCCTGCCTGGGGGAGGCTCCCTCCACACCTGTAGGGGAGCTCCTGCCTAGGGGAGGCTCCCTACACACCTGTAGGGGAGCTCCTGCCTAGGGGAGGCTCCCTCCACACCTGTAGGGGAGCTCCTGCCTAGGGGAGGCTCCCTCCACACCTGTAGGGGAGCTCCTGCCTAGGGGAGGCTCCCTACACACCTGTAGGGGAGCTCCTACCTGGGGGAGGCTCCCTCCATACCTGTAGGGGAGCTCCTGCCTGGGTGAGGCTCCCTCCACACCTGCAGCGCAGCTCTGGCCACTGGCCACCTACGGAGGGTGCCACCCCTACCCACCACACGAGGACGGAGTATGGCCCATGCATCTCTCATATTACGTTAAAAAGAAATGCTTATGCATGGCGGTCATGAACTTGGTGGGAGAGTAATGTCACGAGGGGAGAGTGATATTACAGTGGGTGAGTGATGTCACGAGGGGAGAGTGATATCACAGTGGGTGAGTGATGTCACGGTGGGGAAGTGATGTGACGGTGGTGGGAGTGAGTGTCACTATGAGTGACTGATGGCGGGTACTTTGTATTAGCGGGAAGAGCGATTGAAAAGGGGTGGGGGTGGGGGGGAGGGGGGAGTGTTACTGAGGATGAGGGGCTAGGTGTCGGATAGAGGGCCGGGGGGGGGGGGGAGGAGGAGGAGGGTAGAGGAGGAGGAGGGTAGCAATAGCCTAATTATACTCTATTCCTTTGAGATATATTTGATTGTCTCAGTGTTCACCTAGTTGTGCTTGCAGGGGTTGGGCTCTGCTCTTTCGGCCCGCCTCTCAACTGTAACTAACTACTAACTAATTTTTTTCACACACATACATACACATCCCCAGGAAGCAGCCCGTAGCAGCTGTCTAACTCCCAGGCACCTATTTACTGCTAGGTAACAGGGGGCATCAGGGTGACGGAAACTTTGCCCATTTCACACCACTATTCAGATAACTGAATCCTCGTCACTGCCCTTGTGGATTTGTTCATTTGCCCATTTGTTTTTCCGCCGGCTGCCGGGATCGAACCCGGGTCCTTAGGTCCACGAGTCTAGAGCGCTGTCCACATCAGCCAACCAGCCCCAAACATACTTGAGGGAGGTGAGCGGGGGGGGGGGGTAGGGCAGCGTAATTGTGGCTCCTGGAACACAACACTCCTTCCTAACCTATCAAGAGGACCCAAAACAGAAAACGGGATAGTAGGTCACTTTCGCCAGCCGCTTCCATTGTGTATTACGAGGATTTTTGGCCCTTACGTAACGCATAGGAGCCAAGTGCGACGTTCTTTGTAGGAGGAGAGGTTGTTGGTGGCGCCGACCACCGCGCCCTCCGTCAGCGGTCTTGAAGGTCACACTAATTTGTCGACCAGGGATACAAGACTTTTCCCGGCCCCACCATGGAGACACAACTGTCTCCCGGCCCCACCATGGAGACACAACTGTCTCCCGGCGCCACCATGGAGACACAACTGTCTCCCGGCCCCACCATGGAGACACAACTGTCTCCCGGCCCCACCATGGAGACACAACTGTCTCCCGGCCCCACCATGGAGACACAACTGTCTCCCGGCGCCACCATGGAGACACAACTGTCTCCCGGCGCCAGAAGACGCTAAGACTATCTCTCCCCACCACGAGGAAGAGAGAAGTGACTCCCGGAGCCAGCACAGAGAACCACAACACCAACTACTTCTTCCACTTCCACTAACTACCTTCTTCTACTTCCAAGTCGGGCTTGGGAAGTAGAGCTCCTCCCAGAACTCCATCAAGCAGGTACACCAGTGCAGGTACTAACAAGTTACCTCCAGTTGACCTGTCCGCGGGGAACTACCGGCCTGCACTGGTGCTCAATGACTTGTTAAACCTGAGCGCGTGGTTGGTAGGGGCTGAGCCGGAGGAGCACAGAGACCGCCGACTGGTCAGGAATGGCAGCTATGAGAGTGAAGGTGGAGGTGATGTGAGGGGGTCGTGAGGTGCCCTCCAGGACACCAGTCATGAGGCCATGGGAGGGTAGGAGGGGGGGGGGAGGGGTTCATGGGAGCCAGACAACATACAGTTCCCACTTTGCGAACGTCCTTGCTAGTGTCTCCCACACTCCGCTACCGTTCATTCCCTCCCCCACCCCACCAACATAAACACGGCCCCCCCACTATTCTTAACTCCCCCCTCCCCACCCCCCACTCCCCACCACCCCCACCTCCCCTGCAGGGGGGGGGGTTATATGCAAAACTTGGACTGTCTTCAGCAGAAGCCTCCAGACGTCTCGTGGATTCGGTGGAATCCCAGGTTGTGTAACTTATCCCCATGTCGTGGTACAGTGGTCTTGGTCACTGGTTC